TTGGACTCTGCTGTTAACTGCAGATTTTCAGATCAGAGGCTTTCTGCATCTAATGACGGATCATATTTTTGCTTTGAAATATAAGCATTTTTTACATTTTAAGATTGCGCTTTGATGGCTGTCTACTCTTCATTTAGGTGGTCTTCACATCATTAAAAATATCAACACATTAACTGTTGGTGATACTATGGGGTAGGGCTCAGCCACTTCTCTGATGTCAACTTCTTCCTGTTTTGTTGGGTTTGATTTATTCAAGTGGAAAGTTGTTGGCGTACTACCACCTTAAATAAGCTTAGGCCAGCTTCCTTATGCTTAAAACATATGCAAATAAAGGGGATAAACAGAGACTCTGACACTATTCACTGTGCATAACTGACACTCTAATTAGATAGCAAGGCAGGGGATTATACAAGTAAACAGATGAGAACATACCAAACCTAATATGAAGGGCTACATGTGACACTAACAACTGATATGAGCAGAGAGACACTCACTGTGTTGATTAACTGCACACATAAAGTTAAGGAATATTTTTATGTACCCCCACGATGGTGGCGACAAATTGGATTGTCTGGTAAACAAGTTACCACCTTGTTTTTTTTTGTTTTTTTTAAATTTCCTTATGAAATCAAAGAGGAGCTACTGCATCCATCCTCTGACAGAACACGGCTGATCAGTGCCACTGTGTAAATCTGAAGTTACTCTGGTTTGCTAAAAGTCAGAGAGGTGAAGTATTAATTTATTTATAGGGCAATGTGTGTTGGCACTCTCAAGATCAAGTTTAAACTTACAGTCAACACTCAGATTATTGCTAAACAATGTGACACGGCACTGATCATCATTGTCATCTCCATTTTGTTCACTCTCATGTATTCCTCCTAACGGCGCAATGCTGCATCCTCGGCAGGTGGACTTGGCACTTCAGAGCTGTTTCAACATGTTTTCTGTTGGTATTGCAACCTTGAAACCAATGCTTCCAGGCTTGTTTGTAAAAAGACAAAAAAAAAAAAAGAAGATTAATCTGTGCCACCATTTTGCTCCCGAGAAGTGATACCACATGCTCTTTCTGTAGACCTACTTTTATACTGGTGCTGCAGATCAGACACATTGTGATGAAAAAAGAGAAAGCCTTAGCAGTCTGACAAGCATTTTAATGATACAGGCTCTATGATTTGCATTAATTTGTTCTTTATCATCTGCAGAAATTGCTTCTCCAAGGACATAGTGGTTATATTAAGTAACCATATGTACGGTAAAAAAGAAACTTGTTATTAAATGAACAGATTGAGAGCTATATATTTAAAATGCACATTGATTTCTATCAGCTAACAACAGCATGAACAACAGAACAAACTGTGAAACATGCCGGAACCTCAGCCACAAAATCTTGGCAGTGTCTTGACATTGCACTGGTCAATGCACTAAATTATGCTGTAATTATTCAGGTAAAAAATGGCCACTGACACCCCCCACACTCCAGCAGGAGCTGAGGGGGGAGTATGTTTGTCATGATAGATGAGCTGGATGTCTCTTGGTGCGTTCTGAGGAGATGACATTCCCGGCTTCCTTCTTCTGCATGATGAGACTTTTGTATAGGGAGGAGTCTGTAGGCTTCATTTACCGAAGCAGCAGGGAATAATATAGTGCCAGCGTTTGGATGTGTCAGGTCCCATATCTCCGGCTGTTCTATTAGAAATAGACCCCAGTGCGGGACAATTAACCCCTGGCCTCAGCAGCAGATCTGTGCAGTAACAGCCCAGCACGGGGCAATAAATCAAACCTAGGGGGAGAAACCCACTCTCCCTCCCCTGCTGGTTGGCTGCTACTATCACCCAATGGACTGAGCTTACATGATGCTAGATGTACTCTGATCGTACCGTATAATCACTGGTAGGTGCAAGAGTAATGTAATAGGTTAGCCGTGGGCAAGGCCACTCTGAGTGTGTTTGTGCCGCAGTGAATGCACCATCTGAGGAAAGTTCAACACTTTGGACCAACTGTAACCTTTTAATCCAAACAGCAGGAACTCATTTTCTGTGATATAAGGTTCTGTTGAACCTTGCTGTTCTAGACTGCTAACTGAAATGTGCCTGTAGCATCCAGCATGGGAAACAATATTGAAAGTTGGCATTGAAAGTTAGGTCACTAGCCTGGGTTAGTTGTTATTACATGCCAGTGGTGCGGCTGCAGAGATGGCAGTACTGGTTGACTGATAAGTCAATCCACTTTTTTAGACTAATGACTTTGATGAAGTTCATGTCCCCCCAGGATGAATTGTGATAACTTTTTATCTAACGCCGTCATCAGGTGAAAACTTAAATCTGTTCATTACCTCGGTTTATCAACAAAAATATTTGTAAGGCTAATGTCCTTTCCTCACCTGTGACCATGGTAAACTTTACCTCCTATTAGTATGTTAACATTGTTAGCATGTAGTGCACTCTGTCTAAAGTACATTCTCACAGAGCTGTTAGCTGGCTCTAGATGCTTTTTTTTCTAAAGAAAGTATAGTGTTGCCAGTAGATGGATGAGAGGAAATGAGGGGAGAACGAGAAAGGAAACATCTTGCAGCAAAGATGCCCAGTCAGACGTAAATTGGGAATGATTCGGTTCATGGTCAGGGCCTTAAACTTTAGCCCACCAGGGCACCCTTTATCTTGTTTTTTAAATCACATATTTATTGGTCGAAATCAGGAAATTGGGAAACTTGGTTCATTTTAAACTGTATTTTATTTACAGAAGTTTCAGCCACTTGTTTTAAGACAATATCTAGCACCAAAAGATCGGTAAAACTTGATGTATTTTATTAGTTTTGTTCTAAAAAGAAGAATAACCTGCACACTGATCTTACTTAATATCATGATTTATTGATCTACCCAACTTTTGGTTTCTTTAAACCTCTATCAGAAGTAGCAGTGTGTGGGATATTATTCTTTTCATGACAAAGTGACACTTTGCAAATCACTAGCATCTAAGACATTTGGATGTGCAAATATCTTCACTGAGATTACTGTTTTGTTTAATTATCTTTCTCATGTTTCTCAAACTGATGTACGCGTGAAAAAGGATTGCTTTGGTAGGGTACCAAAACCCAGATATTGTCTTGGCGTGGATATAAAAACATTTCAAACAATACTCAACCCCATGAAAGAATCTTTCTTTTGTCCTCCATTTAATTTGGCCTGTAACATAACAATCACAATAACCTTTAATGACTGCAAGCTGTGGATATCTGATACATTGGTAGTAAAAATGAGAACTATGAATCCTCCCTATACAGTGAAGCCGCCTGCGTTTTTGTCTGCAGCCTGTCATATTGAGACCATTGGTTTAATGGGAGATTAGAGAAAGAATGAGCAGCAATAAAGCTGTAGACCACAGGGGTCACCTTCAGGACCTGCTCATGGTTATTCTTGTCATTAGCATGTCGTGTCTCGTGCTGTCCAGCTCCAATTATAACTGACACAGGATCTAGTCTTATGACTGGGTTGTTCAAACTGCCCACTGTTAGACTGTAATTCTCACACCGATGGACTAATGTGAAATATGGCAACAGATGCAGAGAGCAATGACTGAAGCACATTATTCAGGACCCAAGGGCCATTAAAGCCATAGCTATTAAATATAATTTGAAAAAATTAGCTTTTTGGCACATGGAATAGCAGGTTGTGAGGTATTATGATAATCACTAGATTCCCCAGGGTGCCCGCTCTCTCCAAATGTTATTACTATTTGTATATGCCTTTGTGAATGGGCTTTGGAATATGTAGTCTTGTTTGTGAATGTTTTATGGGAGGGGTAATTCTCCTCAGATACAGGGGCAATTATTGCTTTTGCCAGGGCTTGTGTTCTTTTGTGCGCGTCTCAAGTAATTATTGCTCGTTGCACTTGATTTTTTTTGTTGGTTTGAGAGAATTTGTGCACGTGTGAACACATTTCATTTTGTACTGTTTTAACACACATACCCCTGTGTATGACATGAGAAAATGAAATGGTGTTCAGCCTGCATTCGACCAGTCAAACCAGGCTGATGGACTCAAGGACTGTTAAAATCTGATCACTGCTGACACTACTAAAAGCTTCATATTTGTGTAATTCTATGTGTTAATATTGTTGCATTTCCAATGTTGTATATATACTGGAGTTTCAAGATGGTGGTTGGTCTTTTTGGTCACCTTGTGAAATTTTCAACTCATGTTTTACATTCATGTTAAAGCATCTTTGCAATTGCAAAGAGTGGAATATTTATTTGAGAGGAAGTTGCTGTCAATATTTGCTCACGGGTTACTATTATTTATCCATAACATTGAGATTATTACAGTAGCCCTTGTGCAGTTCATACCGAAGCTGAGCAGCATCAGAGCTGTGGTTTAGAGCAGCGGTGCATAGCTCACTTGTGTAGACATGTTCACATCAACAGCAAACACAGGTCAGTGCTTTGGCCTTAAAGGGTAGAGAGGTGGTTAGTGTGGCTGCATTGTACATTTCATTGTGGCTGACTGCTGAGATTGGTTTGGGGTTCAAATGGACATTAAATGTGGGAACAAGACGTTATGGTTGTATTTTCTCACATTTTCCATAATAGGAATAGATTTAGAGCGAAATCTAAAAAATAAACCCCACATTATCTTGTAAGACAGAAATCAGCACAAGACTAAGGCTTTGGTATACTTCAGAAAGAGAAAGATAATTTAGATAATTAATTAATAATTAATGTTAGATCAATTTGTAAGCAAATATCCAGCATGCTCTGGTTCCAGCTTCCCAAATGGAAGTATTTGCTAGTTTACTATGATACCTGAATATCTCTGAGTTTTGGACTAGTGGTTTGAGAAAATATGAATATTTGGCATGAAAATAAAAAATAAAATGACACATTTAGCATTAATAAAAGTCATCTGTGATTTTAAATCTATTTTCTTAAAACTGGTCTCTATAACCAGAAATGTTGTGTCCTTCAGTGATGGCCATTGTTTAAATGTTTTCCTTTTTTTTCCCAGCTGCTGGCTGCACGTTTGAAGAGGATTCAGACCCCAATCTGTGTGACTTCACCCAGGGGGAGGAGGATGACTTTGACTGGCTGTTGTTTCGGACGTACAGCTCACCTTATGCCAGCTCTGACCTCCTGCGGGGTGAGTGGTCCTCTCTCCTACAGTGCTATAGCTTGTACTTGATTGCCATTTCAGACTGCAGCCATTTTGTGTTGTGAGACGTCTGTTGGCATGCAGATCTTTGATTACACAGAGCTGACCAGGAGATTGGCTCGCTACAAATCTTACACTGAAACACATCAAGTGAGAAATCATGGGGCACGAGACCAGAAGCTATTTTTTTGGGCATATCAGCATTTGGTGTGTGCTTCCGTTTCTTTCGTAAATTATCCTAAAGCCCGGGGAAAGAAATGGTACTTTTGTTTGTATCAATGTGACAGAAATATCAGGAGAATGTGACTGTTGAAATCAGCCCTCATAGATGTCCAGCGTCCATTATGCATCAGCTCTAATGAACCACTCACCCCAGTTTTGTCTGCTTCCCACTAACCCCAAGGATAATTTTATGTTAACCAGCCTCACAGGACTAATGGAAACCAGCATTTTCCTGCCATCATCCTCTCTACTTGTGGTTGCCAGAGGGAGATGGCATGCATAGTTTATAAGGCGCTCCTCCATCTCTGCATTAACAAATACCTACAGGGATCTGACAAAGAGAAGAGTGCTGTTTCAGCTTCTCAGCAGAAATATTGGTGGCAGCAGTGACTCTCTGCTGAGCTACTTCTACCATGGAAACTTGCAATATGATTAAGGTGCTGACCTCCCTTTAACCACTCAATCAATCTATGATATGGTAATGAGATTTCGACCAGTTTATGACAAAAACATGCATTTAACTGCTCATTGTACATGAGAGGGAGAGAGTGAGAACTTGCATGTTGAACAGCTGCAGCAATTTCAAAAGCTTGAAAGAAAGAACTGACATCATTTGATAGCAGAAGAGACAGATCAGTGGCAGATATAAAGACAGATAAGCTAAGAGGAACAGATGTAAAAATGACAAGATAGGACGCAGTCAGATACTGTAGATCATTTAAAAAGAAATAATTGTAGGCTACAGGGAATACTCCATCCTTTTTGAACATTTTGACTCAAGTAGCCTTTCAAAAGAATTTCATAAATTTCCTGCAGGAGTAAATACTGTTATTTTTAAAAGCTGATTCATATCACTTAAATTCCTTCTCTTTTGGCATCTATCCAAAAAGAATTCAGAATTTTATAAATCTGAAATTTAGTCCTTAACTCTTAAACTGCACTTAATTCACCTCCACATCATCAGCATTCAAGTGAGAATCTGCATGTAGCCACCAGCCAATTCATGGCAGGCGATGGGATAATTAATAGTTTTCCCTTTGGGTTTAATTAAAACGTAGTGCCATGGCATTTACAGCGATCCAGAGCTTACAGTGAAAACTTGCACAGGTGGAATGAGGCAGGTACTGTAATGTGCTCATGACGAGACACATGAGAGGCTCTGAGCATCAACTCTTGATCGATCAGTTCTGAGAACCAGGAGACGAATTCAGTTTAATTTATTATCCGCTCATCCTTCAGCCCCACACTATAAGCAATGTGTTACTCATGTTCTTCGCCTGATTGGTGTCATTGTATAGTGACAGGAGTGTTCTTTCCTGAAGTGCACCATGACATTTTCACTGTGTTATTTAAGGTGGATAACCTTACTGTAGATACTGGCACAGGAAATGTTTTTCTTTTTCTTTTTTCTCCTTCTCTCTGACTTAATCCCCCTGTGTTGACTTCTAACCATGTATCACATTGGGCAGCCATGGTGGGGGGATAACAAGAGTTTATGAGATAAGGCTATTTACATTGGGCCAGTATTAACTTTGTGGGGCTGAGAAATTGGTGTCGAGGGAAGATTAGTAAACACAGCTGAGATAGCAGCAGCTTGTGGCTCCCAGGAGAAATTAGAGACTACCGTTCCCATGAAAGAGAAAATCGTCCTGGAAAAAAAAAGATGATAAAATGTGGTGAGATCTTAATAAGAATGGCCCATTTTTATCACATTCTCCTTTATTTTGAATTAGATTGGAGACGTCTGGTTGCTATTGATCATCTTCAGTCCTCTTGCTGTTTTAATGAACAAGTCGGGCTTGCAGGATGATGACCTTGTGAGGAAGAATGGGTCTGCATGTCAAGTGTACCTTGTTTTCTGAGAGTCAGATTTATTAGCTTCAAAAGTTGTGAGTCTGCTGCAAAAGCCATTATAGTGTATCAGGCTCAGCTTAAGGGGAAAATACATTAAACATGGTTAAAAAACAGGTAATTGCAAAGTATCTTGCTTTCTCTCTTCACATTTTTAGGTGTTTTCATTTTTTTATTCTTATGGCCAAGAGGTAAAACATATGGGCGACATGATACACAGATATTTACAGTAAAGCTAGAATGAAGGTTGAAAGCAGAATCTTTTCAGCTCTTAGACATCTTGGGGTTGGGTCGGTGAATTAAGCGCCCAATCTGGAACAGGTACGCACCATACTGTCATGGGCACCCCGATTGATAGGCGCACAGAGAGGGCTGGTAAAGAGATTGACTGGGCTGGTCCACTGGCCCACCAATATGGTGCCTCACCAGGATTTATCCCTGTATGCTCAACGACCAGTATGAGTCTGAAGGGTTTTGTTTGTATCTCGGTGGTGTGAATGTGTCATATGCGGCGGTTGGAGTTAATATCAGTAGGTCATAAAAATCTGTCTAACTTAATGTTAGCAGGTTAAATCTACATTTCTCTCTCTACTATGTTCTCTTCTTTCTCTCACTCCCTGTCACCTCAGTTGGGTGTCACCACCTGTCCTCAGTTTCAAATTAAAAGCCCTCTGCTGTGTTGTGTAATTGCGAATTCATGACACTGCAGCAGCAGTAATGATTTTGCAGCGACGGGTTGGGAAACTGAAACTGAAGTTAGATTCAGTGGCTACATTGAAAAAATATATTAGCTCATATCATTCCAAAACCCCTTGAATATCACAACCTGATAATCTATCTAAGGATGGATTTGTCCTTTAAATTGGATATTTGAGACAGAAAGTTCCCAATTCAACCCTCTGTTCTGCTAGGTGTTTGTTCTTGTTCAAGTGTCACTGAGAACAAAATCCTCACTCAGTTTTCCACCTCAGCAACCGCTCAAACAGTGTCTCTTGGATGTTCAGAAATTGGGGCTTTAGTTTCCAGCTGAGTCATACAGAAATTCTCTGACAGTACTGAAATAGTGTTGAAATATGCTACTGCTTCTTTTTTCTTACCATGTGTTGCATGCTAATTCTGCAAATCCCTCTCTCCCTGTATTTTTTTGTTAGTGTCTGCTGTGCTGTCCGGTAGCACACATACAGTGAAGGTTACTTTAAAGATAGGTCCTGCAACAGACGAGAATCTAACTCCATGTGTGTATTTGTACATGCAGCGTGCACAGTGCAACGTGCTATGGAGTCAATTGACTGGCTGTTTTCATTAGCTACTAGCACAAAAGATCCTTACATAAATACCCACAGACATTCTGAATGGACTCTAATGTTGGATGGGACCTCGGATCCAAGAAAGGTTAAAACTTACATAAAGCATGGTTTTCAACATTGTCATGGGGTCAGAGCCTGGTCAATCGGCACATACTGTAGCAGCAGGCTCAATGTAATGACCTTAACAGAGCTAATTCATACAATAAAACACACAGACAATCCTCCATCTGTATCTCCAGCATCCTTTACCAGTCGGCTATGGAGGACAATGTCATATCTTGTGGCCTTTACTATCTGTCACCTCTCACCCCTGCCTGGCCTCAGCCGCACACCGTAGATCAGCTGCACATTAGTGTGTGTGTGTGTGTCATTGACAGTGACCTGAGATTCATCTGCGTCTGTGAAAGGATGAAGCAGAGCGAGGAGACAGATACATCTGCTGTAGGAGGGGTGTTGTTATCTGAGCTGACCAGCCATCCTCACTGGTTTAATACTCTATTACACTGGCCTCCTCCACCTTTACCTTCCGGCAGACTGCATTTACCATATATATACAGTCAATATCATCCCATTTAAAAGGTTTCCATTTATTCTAAGTTTCAAAATTCAGTTAGTTTTGCTGTTATAACTGCATTTTTGGAGAGATAATATACTGTATGGCTTATAATTTTGCTGTTTGAGAAAATGGTTCTTAATACTGTAGGTATTTTAGTTGAGTGCAATTTAAGTCTGTTTCTTGTTGTATTAAACAACATAATTACATTGAATTGCTAAGTTGGTTGTCATGCAATGTAGTATGGTACAGTCTGTCTATATGTCATATTTTAATTGTATGCAAATTATTTAAGGAAAAGAGCAAATTGCCATTTGTTTTGACCATTATTGCAATTGTGATTTAAATTATGTTTGATTTCTTTACCAAACAAAAATTTATTTTGTCTCTACATAAATATATAGAGATATAATTATGTATTTATACGTATTCATGAATAGTGTAGTTGCTGTTTAGTTTTTCAGTGCGGGTTCTTATAATGGTCAGTAGGAGAGAAATCAGCTTGTGCCTAAAAACTTGCATAGTTGACCCCATAGGTTGTTTGCGCAAGCTGCTTATTATGACCCATAGTTGAGTTTTATTATGAACCAATATCTAGCGGCCGTGTGAGACAGCATCAGTTTGGATGTCCCAAAACGACATGTTTATGTTCAAGTAACAAAGCTGTTATACAACGGTATACAGCGACAAACTCTGTGTAGGGAAGAGGTCGGGGAGGATGGATAGGTCAACTGTTGTTGACTGCTGTTTGTTTCCTATTTCCATCAGCATTTTTTCTTATAACCGTGACCATCCCATAGCTTTAACTGTGTCTATTACCAAAGTCCTTAACAAAGTACTTGTTTTAAACAGTCTTTTCTTAAACCTGACCAAGTTGTTTTTGTGCCAGAGCCTACCAAAAAATGTACTGTAGCATTGACATTAAATAAAAGGTTTAATTATTTATTTTTCAACTGTGTTTTGAAAAAGTTCTGTGGCATATCTCCTGCCACCGTAATGGGGTGCTAATTCAGGAGATGCTCCTCTGGGTTGGACAGGGACAAATGACCTATATA